AAATTGCCTCCATTGGACTGACCTGTGGCCATGTCTGTGGGGCTTCTTGATTGTTGACATTGGAGGACCCAGCCCACTGTGGGTGGTGCCACCCCCTGCAGGTGGTCCTGTGTTGCATATAAAAGCAGGTTGAGCGCAGACTGGGGGAGTAAACCAGTAAGCTGCATGCCTCCATGGTTTGTGCTCCAGGTTCCTGCTTTGGGCTCCTTGATGAACTGTGACCCAGGAAATATAAGCCAAATAAACCCTTTCCTCCCCAAGTTGGCATTGGTCAGAGCGTTTTGTCACAGCAATTGAAGGCAGACTAGAGTAAGCTAAAGTGTGTGGCTGTATGGTTTCCCTTTCAGGAAGAGTTGGATGCGATTTGGGGAATTCTTTGCCAAGCATTCTCCCTTCAATTTTATTCCTTAGTATTGATCACCAGAGATGTTTCTGCTGTTTCCTGGTTAACTTTTTCATTTCCAGTGCAGTGTAATCTCTCCTACATACATGGCCAACACACGCTTGAACTGAATGGACTTTGGAGTCATGTAGTATCCTCTGTGTCAGATGTTGCCAATGGACACTTCAACATTGGTTAGTAAGAGCACCAAAGTTAGTACTGTGCTTAGTTCTAGGGAACATTTGTTTTGGCTGAGTTTTGCCCGTTTACTTAAATTTAGGTCATAAAAGTAGTTATAACTTAAAAACTACCTCTCTGTTATTTATCTCAGCCTTAAGTAAATTTTTGGAAGGAAATGCATTTCTCTAGCTGTCTGTTACAATTATAGTTCTAATGTAAAAAGAAGCTACTTAAAAACAAACCATTAAGATTTTGTTATAAATTGGAGAAATAGGGTCAAGGGACAGAGCTCAGAGTGCTTGCTTGGCATTCAGGAATTCCTGTTTTCAGTTCCTAGCATGGCACAGACTAGGTGTGGTGGTACATGCCCTCATTCCCAGCACTTTGAAAATGAGGGCTGGAGGATGAGTTCATGGTCATCCTTGGCTACATACTGAGTTTGAGGCTGGCCTAGATTAAGAAAATATTGAAGAAATTCACTTTAGCATCTGTAGCATGTATTTTCAGTTAATGCTTATAAGACTGGCTACAAATCATGCTGTTTTCCAGAAGCTAAAATAAAAACAATGCCGCTTTGAAGTTTAGGACGCATTAAGAAAATGTCTATTTGTAACAGCCAGGGTGAGTCAGTTCTACGGACAACTGACCTGTCACAAAGATGGTCCTCTTTGGAGGTCTCAGCCTTTAGCACATAAGGTAGTTGCTGGGCACAGACCCCTTCACCCAGCATAGCCTTTACCTCCTCAGCATCAGGCAAGCAATCCTGAGAAGTCCTTTATTCTAAAAGAACCAGAAATGAGACTCCCTGGATGGTGGGTAATCTCAGTATATTAAGTAGATTGTAGTTCAAGTTCTCACCTCTATCCTTTGTCGACCAACTGACCCTGGGTAAGCTATTAGCCCTTTAGTTCAGCTTTTAGCCCCTGGGGATCAATGCACTCAAAGTTTCAAGAGTGACATTAGCAACAAACACGTGGAACACTGTCATCACCACACAGGAAGCCCCTCCCTGAGGGGACAGTATTCCCTAGACAGTTTGAAAGGACATAGGCTTGACCATAAAGTGGTGTTTAGATGGTCAACAGCAACAGCCTTTACTTCACTGAAGTCCAGTATGACCTCAGAGTTACCCACTAGAATAGGGAGAAGGGAAATTCGTATAAAGTTCCTTGAATGACATAGTTCCCCTGGGAAGCCAGTGATCATAGTACTCAATATTGTTAAGGAAAATGGGCTAACAGCTAGGAATCAGCTAGTTGTAAAGTGGAGGCTCTTCTGATTAAGTCTCCTCCACTTGACCAAGCCATGATCAGGCAGATTCTGCTTAGCCATGGTCTAGACATAGGTTTTCAGGGTCTGATGCTCAGATTAGACCTGTAACCTCTTTGGTGCTTAAAAATGCAAGTTTAAAAGCCTTATTCTCAGTTTCCCAAGTCAAACTATTAATGGGGGAAGTAACTTTTGGAGGGTACTGCTGGATTTGAACCCAGGCCCTCACCCACACTATGCAGGTGTTCCTTCACTGAGGTACATTTCTGGCATTTAAGACAGGGCCTCTCATAGGTCAGGATGACTTTGAATTTTGATCCTATTTTGGAGTCTTATGTGCAGTGATTACAGGTATAGACTGGCTTTCCAGTGATTCTTTTAAACCAGCCCTCTTGTGATCCTAATGCCCACTGAAGTTTAAGACCCAGCAGTCTTGGAGATTCACAGCTAGCTGTAGACTTTTTACCCTTTTTGACTCTTCTTTTGCTAGAGTTTTGCTCTATTGATCTCTGGTTAAGCTTATAAAACTATTAAGTCTGAGATAATATGTATCCATAAGTCAACATCAGAGTTATACTCTATGAAACATTGCTCCACTCAGACAAGCTAGTGACATTCTTTGCTCAGGTGAGATGCCTCCCTAAGATGAACAATGAGGCGCCCATAGCAGTTAAAGAATTTAGAATCAGATGAGCTTTCAGATGAAGAGCTTGTCCCATGCTGGGAGTATCAGTTTTATTCATAGTTGATTTGGGCAATTCATCTCCATTTCCTGAGAGCCACGAAGGATATAAATAAGCCTCCAACGATGATCATGGTGCCAGAAAGTCCTGCCACCCACAGAGCAGGAGAGCCCATTGGAGGACCTGCAGAATGCAAAGGTAGACTAGTGCAAGATGAACCCAACAGGCTGCTCTGCATCCTGACAGAAGCAGGCAGTCTTTATGGGAAGATACCAATTTCTTTTGAAGGGAACATACATTGACCAGCAAGAAAAAGGAGTAGGGTAAGAAAGTTGCATTGGAATGGAGAAGTGATGATGTCTTAGTATGTAGCCCAAACTGGCCTTGAACTAGCAATCCTCCTGCCTCATCACAGGCATGTACCAGCATTTCTAGCTAGGAAGTAGCTTTGGTGGTTAAGTAGCTACTTAGGCATCTTCCCACTCACCTGAGTCATTACGAAATACGTCTGATGGGTCCTTAGTGGCTTGGAGGAGGATCATGGGGCCCTTGCTAGAAACACTGGTGGTACCGTTCTCAAAATGCAGCTCAGGTTTTCTTCCTGGAGAGATGAGGGTTTGTAATTTGTTCACAGGGAGCAGGAGTAAGGTGCTAAACTAAGAACCAAGTCCCTTAATGCATAGAGCTCTATTAAACGCCTCGTAAAAACCTATTAGTGCAATACAAATTTGAGCGAGTCTGAGGTTTTCTGTTTAACTGTATGAAACTGTTAAACTTCAGTTTCACAAGGATTCAGATGTAGATATGTCGGAGATGATCTCAGCTACCATCCTTTCTTAGAAGGGACCGTCTTGACAATTGCATTCAATGACCTTACATCACAGAGAAGGTTCTGTTCAAGCAGGAAGAATACAGCCATTTTCATCCTATGTGTCAGTTAACAGGGTCCTGAAATGGCAAATCTAATGTTTTGGAAGCGGGATAGTAGACATAATTGGAGTTGGTATTGTGTCTTTCGCAGTGACTGCCATCAAGTTACTATCAGTATTTACGTTCTCATAGGAAACATTTAAGGTTTTAGGAATCATGAATTCAATTCATGAACAAACAGGTGGGAGTGGACCAGGTAGAAACAAACATTTATATGGATCGACACCCCCTCCCCCATTGAAGTTCTGGACCTGACAAGCTCCAGAACATAGGATGCCTAAAGTCTTATTCCACCTGTATACCTTCAGGGCACGTTGCAGATCTGCCTTTAGTTGGGTAGAGACATCTACCTTAGAGAACAAGCCAGATGTGAGGTTGAGCCAGGTGTGGGTCATAGACTGATTTGGCTACTGGTTTAATCCAAGATTGTACAGTTCGAATTATCTGACTATAGTTTATGAGACTGATGTGCTACCGACTGCACTGAGGCATCTAAGCATTTATTGTTTAAAAGATCAGAGATTCTGAAAATTAGCTGGCTCTGTCCTCATGCGTTGGTACTTAGAGAAGACTTAATAAAATTCAGGGAGTTTCAGTCACTTGGCTGAGGCTAAGATGGTTAACAGTGGGACTCAGGATTCAACTAGGTCTGTGCTATACACAGGTCAGGTACTCACGTCTGGCAGGACAGGTTACTGTGCAGAAAGGGGTCCCATCCAGCTGGCAGACAGATGCGCTGCAGTGCAGATATACCTGGGCAATGGGTCAAGGTCACATTGTAGAACCACCATGTCGGACATCTCCCAACCCCACCTCATCTCCCCAGGAAGAAGGCAAGAATGTGATGAGATCATCTTTATGAGCCCAAGTTAACCATCCGGTCACTCCAAAAGAACCAGAGTTCAGAGACCTATCATGTCATTGGTGTCCAGGGAGCTCCTAAGCAGTACCAGTTAGTTCAAAGGGCCATTTAGCTGAGAAAAAAATGATAGGATGTTGGGACAGTCCTACGCTGAGGGTATTTAGAAATCTTGCAAGTGCTCAGGAGGAGACATCATACCTGTCCACTGAGAGTCTGCTCCGCTCTTGTGAGGTCCATGAAGCCAAAGGTGGAGATTTTGAGGCGCTGGTGATGAGACGGAAACAGCCGGCTGGAGGCCTTCTGTACAGGGATCTGTTGGGTTTGGTAGTTATCACCAGCAAATGGGCATCTAAGCCAAGAGACACAGTGGTCAGGGTGGGCTTATTTGAGGGACCCAGGCAGATCCCTGGAGGAACCACATACCCCTTCACCAGGATGGGCCATTGTGGTTGATGGAGGGGATTGGGGCTGGGTGTGGCCCAACACTGCTGTAGCAGCAGCCCTAGGGCAGGGTCTGTTCTGCGGAGGACGGAGACCTCCACATAAATGGGGTCCCGCAGTATCTTCACCAGTGGGTAGTCACCAGCAGCATAGTAAGAGCTGTAGTTTTCATCTGTACAAAGGCAAAGGAGGCCAAGTGGGGCTGGGGAAAATGGCTCCGATGGTCGAGGGTCTTTGGGGTAAACAAGAGACCTGAGCTTGATCCCCAGAAGTCACTTGGAAAGGCTGGGCCTGGAGCCCTGTGCTTGTCTCCTAGTGCTGGGGAGGCAGAGACAGGCACACTCCAAGCCAATGAGAAACAACGCTGTCTTAAACAAGGTGAGAAATGACACCCAAGTCTACCCTTTGACCTCCACACGTGTATGTAACTGACAGTTAAAGTAATACAAGCAGAAGTAGTATCCTGTATGTACTAGGGACGGCCGCAGTCTGCATACCTACATGACTTATACATGTATCATGTTACTGAGTTAGGGTACTGTCACAGGACTTACTTCAGGCCAGATGTGCTGACCAAGGAGGACTTACCCTTGGCAATGTGAAGTTCCAGAGACAGGGGTCCAGGCTGGGGCTTAGGAACTGGTGGAGGGAGAGTCAGAACTTGCATGTTCACTGGGGATGTGTTGCTGAGCACAGAGTAGCTGCAGCGGACTTGGAGCCTGCAGGAGAACAAGATTTTAGCAACAGGGCCACACCAGTCACAGCTTCCATTTGTACACCTCGGGAGCAAGCGCTAGGTGTCACACAAGTTTGTAGACGTGACAGCTGTGGGTCCTTTCTGTGGAGTTACTTTCACTTGTAGGTCACTATGTGAAGAAGCCCATAGGAGCTAGAGAAAACCTAGCTAAGAAGCATGAGACAGGTGACCACTAAGAGGACGCGGCTAGGGAACATATTGCAGGGGAGGGAAGGATGAACATAACTGTCCGACATCTCTGTGGAGCAGACAAGCACAAGCCCAGTGAGGCAGGCTGAGGTCAAGTTTGTGGTGGCAACACAGGCCAACTTTAGCAGTGGTCAACACTGTTGGCAGTCCCAGACAGCCGTCAGATTTGTCTCTTGTGAGCAGCATTCTTCTGTGGGCTCAGTTTACCCTAGGAGTCCTGCTTTATGGAGAAAGGCGGCTTCTGAATCTTAGGGGCAAAGTTCACAGATAACGCTACCTGAAGGTGCTGTCACGGGTTATAGAGCCACGGCCCCATGTTCGCATCTCTCTCATGGCTACCAGCTCGTTCTCATACACTGCCTGGTCTCCAGTGATCTGTATGGATGGTAAAGTGGCCTGTCACTCATCTGTTCACTGGATGCTGCGCCCAGCTTGCCTTGGCCTGGCTCAGTTCCTACACCCCTTATTGCATTCCCTGTGTCCTAAGCAGAGGTGGGAGTTCCCAGCAGTGAATAATCTGGAAAAGTGTGGCTTTGACTTACTGCAAAAGCAAGGACTAGGGAGACACTTTGAGAACTCAGATGAAGTACTCAGTACCCCAATCCCAGCCAGCAGCCCCCTGATGGCTACCCAGAGCCCAGTAGTATAAGGAGCCTGTTCCTCATCTTCCTTCTCTAGAGTGGTAAGATGCTGCTGGATCACTTCAATGTCTGTTAGTTGAATCCAAGAGAGGTGTCCACTCTCAGCGAGGGACTCCTCTGCCTAGAGGCTGTCCTAAACGCCAGGTGGTGGTCAGGACTATCCTCACGACCATGTTATTCAACGTCTCCTGTCTTGATCCCCAGGACATTACTCCCCTTGGCCCAAACCAGAATTGAATCCCCAAGACAGCTCTTCTCACCCGCCTTGTGGTCCCACAGGAAGAAAACGGGAATTGGAACAGGACAGAGGTGGGCGTCACCATCACAGGATCACACCCACTGTCATTCCCAAAGACCAAGCGCAGTGACTCCAAGCGCAGAGGTGGGGAGGTCACGTTCCTCGATACAGCGATGGAGAAGTGGCCTTCTCTGGTGCAATGAGAGGTCACTGGAATATCAGTGGGGTGAGGTCAGGTCATCCTGATGGAGCCGGATGGATCCAAGTCTGATGACTTAGTTCCCACTGAAGGGAGACTCCCCTAGATGACCTGGAGACAGGCTCAACTGGTTGCAGCTAAATCAGGCTCCCAATGGACACCTGTACTCAAGTGTGCCCTCCTCATGAGGCAACCTGACTTCAGCTGTGTTTTTAATTAATACACATAGGAGCACCTGCCTTGTTTTACTTCTTAGAACTCAGATCTCATTGACTGCTTAATGTAGGAGAAAAACTTAAGACCTGTGGAAAAATAGTTGTTTGGGAACAATGTTCTCTCAACAGACTCATTACCAGTCAACCCAGTGGTTGTTCTTTGGAAAAATGAGGAAATTTGTCAATTAGCATGTATCTGCCACCTTGAGTTAATTTCCTGAGGGCCCTGTAGGTTGTTTAATGTTTGGGTTCTGGGATAATACACAGCGAAAAGCTGTAGAACATTCTAGTTCTGAGGCATCATCACATCAGCCTGCAGTTGCTTTTTATCATTTGCTGACTGATCAAAGCTGCCCAACTCTGGCTTCACTAGGAGTCACTGGCACTTTTTTCTCAGATGATTTGAGACAGACACGCACCTGTGTTTCCATAGTAACAGGATCCCATCCCTTCCTCCAAGTTGTAGCAGCAGCCAAGGTCCTCACAGTCTCCTTGTGAGATGGGAGAGGGGGCACATGACAGCCTGTCCCTCGGTGGCACCGAGTCACACAGGTCAGCATGCTGAGTACCTAGAGCCAAGTGTGGGGAGACAGGGTGGCTGTCCAGTGCATCATCTTGTCACAAAGCTTCAGTCTTGAACTCCTGAGCATACAGAGCTTCGGCAGGCCTGTTGGTACTACATGCTGTAGGTTAAAGCTCAGAGACAAGGCTAATGTTAAGTCACCTTCTAAGGGACTCCTGACATGAGTCCCTTCTGAGGGATCCTGTGTAGGAGCTACTCACATGACAACCTTATACTCTTTAGGGGACTTTTCAAGCTTTGGTATGAACACAAGATACCACAGGAACTTCTTTTAACCCAAGACTCCTGCATTAGGTCTGAGCGTACAGGCCGTGACCCGTTTGCTCTGCCTCACCTGCTACATTTGGAGCAGCCAGGTACTCAGAGGGGAGAATTTAAGTTTGAATCTGTTCTGACCCTGAGGTGAGGCTGCAGGGTCTCCAGGTAAGTGGTCAAGTGGCCCCAGGCAGAGACAGCCTCTCTGAAAATTTATTGCTACCTTGAGTTTCTGTGCTTCCCAAGGGTGAGAGACTCCCAATTCCCATCCAATTCTGATTTGAATTCTAACTCTCCAATTCACGGGTGAGGCTGCTTAGACAGGCTCATGGCCAGGAGATTGTGATAGAACCCACAGACTAGCTCAGGATCGGGTGTTAAGGTGCCAAGTTGTAACCACACACAGCCTCAGCCGAATCACCCTGTCAGTTACCCTAAGAGCTGCCAAGGGAGTAGAGGTGAAAGTTCTTACCTGGAAGATCCACAGGACACTTGAGCAGTCTCTTCTTCGTCCCCACCGCAGGCCCAGCCACATCCTCCCCTTCCACTCCGACCACCATGATGTAGTAGAAGCCCTGTGGAGACAGGCACTGGGAATGAGCTGGGCTTGTAGGAGGGGCTTCGGTCCCCCTGACAGCTGGTGTCTACTCACCCACTGAGTGGCATAGCAGCTGTTGTAGGTAGCTTCCAACACCACGGTGCTGCCAGGGCCGTCCGTCAACCAGGTGCCACAGCCAGTGTCATTCTGTAGCCTGTGTGGCAGGCTTTGGTTATCTGGGGGGAAGGGATGCAAAAAGGTTTGCCATCTTGATGACGGGTGCTGGAAAGAGACAACTATCACACCCCCCCACCCCCGCCACTCTAAGAAGTGCTGTCATTAAGAATACAACACCCAGGGCTGGAGAGATGCTCAGCGGTTAAGAGCTCTGGCTTTGATTCCCAGGACCCACAGGGTAGCTAACAACCATCTGTAACTCCAGTTTCGGAGAATTTGACACCCTCTTCTGACGTCCACCACCGGTGCATGACAATGTGCACTTACATACGTGCAAGTAATGCACTCATACACAGAGAGAGACAGAACAAAGCCAGCTGGCCTTAGAAGTTCAACTTTCAGCCATTCATCCTGTGAACAGGGCTGTGGAGTTCACTGATGAAGAAAGGCATAAGCACAGCAAGTTGCAGGGCAGGTAGCTTTGGCCAACATGGGACTTATGGCTGGCTGAGTCCAACTTACCCCAGGCTATTAGCACAGGAGGAGCCTCTGCCTCCTGGCTCAGGTTCACTGTGAACTGGAAACTCCTGTGCCCACAGAGGAGCGTGCCTGGCACCTCCGTCACATTCTGGCTACTTGGAGGAGGAGAGAAGGAGAAGCACAGCAGGATGCCGGGCAGAAGCCACAGAGCTCTCCTGGGAGCCCGGCTGCCCATCTCTGCTGGTTCAAGAGCTGGTATCCGCGAGTTAGGTGATCTCTTTTAAATCCAAGAGGAAGGCCTGGCTTGAGGCGAGCTTGTTTACAACCTGCAGGTGGAGTGCCTTTGAGAGGGGCAATTTCCACCTTCTTCCACCTGGGGTGCAAGCTACAACTGCATCCCATTAACCATTACAGTCCGGGAGCTCTTCAAGCCAGGGAAGATGACATTCTTTCAGTCCACGCAGGGTTCTCGGGCTAGCTCCTTCCAGCTCTTCTTTTACCAACTTGTCTTCAGAAAAGACCCTTTTTAGAACTGCATACTCAGGTGAGGATTCTAGTTGTGCTGGTGGTCGGCTGTGTCAGGAACTAGATAAGCTACTATCCCTCAGAATTGGGGAAGGGCACCTCCTGGCAGCCTTGCTCTTGATGCGTTGGGGGCTTCTATGTCAAGTATATGGCACAGTGCTTGGCCAAGCAGGGAGCACTTAGTCAAGGTTGTTGAGTGAGGGTTGCCTTCTTTGAAGACCCTTGTTCTAAGCCTTCATGGGAAATCACTAGGCAATTGGAGTCTGGCTCACAATTCCAGGATCATTTCCAACTGATTCCTGAGTAAAGTTGATTTAGAACCTTTCCCTGCTCTTCAGAGAGTGGCACCTTGGTTCTCTTTTGACATGTTCGAAAGCCATTGTGAACCAAAGTTCCCAGGGGGAAGAACACCTGTGTCAAAGAATCTATAAGGTCAACGGAGCAGTAAGAACACGGCAATTGTGAAAGTCTAGGCTGTTGCAGATCCAGAGCCAAAGGATCTTGTGCTCTCTGATATCACATCGCCCACCTCTGTCTGAGCTAGCATCCTTGTGAGCTATCAGGCAAAGTCTTTTGGAATGTATTAAAATAGACCACTGCTTTCCAGCAGCTTTAAAAGGTCTGAAACCCACCACAAAGCTGTGCTATGACCCACTGGTTTGCTGTTTCTATGACTGTCCCTCAAGGGTCAGCTTCAGCAGATTTCGCATGCTTGAGGGGTAGGTGATTGTCTGATAGTCAAAGGAGCTCAAGTGTCTCTCATTCAACCATTTCACTTCCTACCAGGGCTTCGGCATAGGATCATGGTGGCCATCTGCAGTATAGCCTCAGCTTGTGGGATCGTGTCCTCTGTGAGGACCTGTGTAAACTTCATGCAGTTTAAAAATCATAAAAGTGGGGCTGGGGCTAGCTCAGTTGGTAGAGTGCTTGCCTAACAGGCACAGGGCCCTGGGTTTGATTGCTTGTACTACCGAAACTGGAGCGTCCTGCATGTCTGTAATCCCAGCACTCAGGAAGTAGAAGCCAGAGTGCAGGGTCCTCCTCGTGTGTCAAGTTGAAGGCTAGCCTAGGCTATGTGAAAACACCCCTTAGTTGCTGAGGAATGCTAGAGGATTGCGTGAGCCCACCTGTAATTAGCGGAAAGAAGTGAGACGGCTGTTCTCATCGTGGTGCAGGACCCTGTCACTCCTAAGAGGGCAAACATTGTACTGGAAACATGTCTGTGAGTGTTCTTTGTAACAAGCAGGATGAAGTGTCATCCAGAGTCAATTGCGGGTGGCAGGTTCAGCCACTGGCCTCTTCCAAGGCCTCGCCCTCTGTGCAGGCTCACAAGTCCAGCTGCCGTGCGCTCCCGTGCTGGGTGCAGCTTTCCTTCGGCTCTGGTTTTGTCTGGTCTTGCTTCATCTCTTCCTCTTGCAGTGGCCACCTGGAGAGGGAATCCTCCTCTGCTTCAGCCAGGAGGCCAGCTGCTTACCTCTTTGTTTCTAAAGGAATGTCAAGATATGTTGTAAGACACAAGACCCCCATTCTGCAATGGCAAATTCAAGAGACTAGGGAAAGTGAAATGTATTTTTTAATATCATACTGCAGAAAGAGATGCCAGCACAGAAAGGGGCGGAAATGATTTGCTTGTTGGTTTGGCTTTTGAAAGTTCCTGATAAGGAGAAATTCCTGCCCCCTTTTCCTATGGGTTAGTACTTCTGAGAGTTGAACTCTTCTCTCTCCTCTAGCATAGACCCCCTTCCCAATTCTCATCCTATTGGTTCAGGAAGCAAAACACTGCCTAATTAGTATTCTGGGACTTGGGATTGCCCCAGCACCAAATCCTTATAAGTGAGGGCATATCCTAATGTAACCACAGGGACCAGGAATATGGAAGGGAACCAGGGAGGTAAAGGGAAAGACGGAACCTAGGAGAAAGATGTTACTAAGGGAGAAATATGTAAAATATGTAAAAAGGGGGTAGCTAACAGACTGCTTTTAACTTTCTAAATCTCAAGAGTTCTAAGACAAACTGATTCCAGCCACAGCCACAGGCTGGGGGACAGGGTGCATAATACCTCTTGCTTCCCTGTGACTGTTCTATTTATAATTTTTTATGTGTGTGAATATGTTGCCTGCTTGTATGTAAGAGCACCCATGTCATGCAGTGCCCATGGAGATCAGAAGAGGGAGTTGAATCCCCTGGAACTGGAGTTAGGGATGGTTGCTAACTACCATGTGGGTGTTAAAAACTGAACCCAGGTCCTCTGCAAGGGCAGCCAGTGCTCTTAACCAGGAGTCATCTCTCCAGCTCTCTGACTCTTTGATGAGCCCTGAACATACTGAAAATGGACCACAGTATCTTTTTTTTTGGGGGGGTCTCCCTGTAGCCCCAGCTGGCCTGGATTCCCTATGGAGACCAGGATGGCCTCGAACTCACAGAGATCTGCCTGCCTTTACCTCCCGAGTGAGTGCTGGGATTAAAGGCGTGCACCACCACGCCTGGCCCTAGTTTCTATTTCTAACATATATTCATCACGTTCTCTTGCTTTCTCACATACATACCTATGAACACACACGTACATACACTCTCAATAGAAGAGATTAAGAAATAAGTTGCTAAAGAAAGGAGCTAACATTCAGGACTTTGGGGTGAGGATTTATTGCTAGGGTGGTTGCAACACATGCCCCATCTGTAATTATGCTCATCTACTTAAGGATCGATCCTGCCCCTCAGAATGGGTGGACATGCTAATTTGCAGGTAACAGTAAGTTCTGAGGACTGTAAACTAGTTGGCTCTCCTAACATCGCTGTGTTGTCCTAAAAGCACACAATGGCCATGGCTTCTAATTCCAACTTTTCAAACACTAAGAGGATGGGCAATGCTCGAGATTTCAGGCAATGCACAGGACGGCTTCTGTAGACACGGTGAGTGGGCAGTCAGCCTGGCGCCTGCTCACTTACTATTTCTGCAAGCCTGTGGTAAATTCCTCCTCCGCTCAAGTGCAAGACACGAGGGCAGATGCAGCAAGGTTGATAACCAGAAGATTGGCAGCTGGGTAGGCCTGTGATTGATAAGCACGACTGCACCCTGGATAGGCCTTGCAAATTGTAGGTGACAACAGATGATTTCATTCCCCAAAGAATTAGGAACCCTATTCAAAATACCATGAAGCAGATTTCTCCATGGAATTGTGGGTTGAGATGAGAGCCCATTGCCCCAAGTACAAAGGCTGCTCAATCCGAAAGAAGGCAACATAGACCCATGTTATTTAATATGCCAAATGACAAGGGCGTGTCTCTGTATGTGTGCCTGTGATACATTTTGAAAGTTACTCCTACATTGGCTTGATAAGGCTTCCCTAACTAGGACGACTCCTAGGGTACTCAGGACAACAGTTTATTCTGTAGTGGTAGAGAACAGGCCCTAGAGCTCAGGTTCTGCCGGGCCCCGCCCCCACTGAACTTGCAGGTGGAGATTGCTTCCTCTCTTCCAGCTGCTTCCTGTGACGAGCAGCCCTTGGCAGTCGTTCCTAGTAGACATACTGCCCCAGTCCTCTGTCTCACATGCCACACTACTCACATGTCTTTATATGACATCCTCCATCTGCACCTGTCTGGCTCCAAATGGCTTTTTTTTTTTAATGCGAACACTGGTTATATTAGATTAAAGCCTATCATAATGACTTCATTTTTTTGTTTGATAACTTATTGTTATGGACCCCGGGAATACTGAGGAAAGACCACCAGACTCAGTTCAGATCGGCATAAAAGACTTTATTCACGCTAGCTTGCACTGCAGTCACAGCATCAGATTAGAGTGCTGCAGTGGGGAGAGGGAGGGAAAGGGGACATTTTAAAGCTAAAAACCGCAAAAAGGAATGTTGACAAGGTGGTCCCCGAATAACAGGGTAGAGGGTGATCTCAGGCTACATGTCAAGGTGCTCTAACATAGCAAAATAAGCAAGTTACAGAAGCCAGAATCAGCAGTTAGTCATCTCATAATAATTTTGTTTTCTATGTCTAGAGAGCAAGTGACCACGGCAGCATTCTCCTGGGAGGTAAAGGGAGAAAGGAGTCAGGGTTTCTGAAAACAATCCTTGAGCTAGAAATACACTATGGCTAAGCTTCTAAGATGGCCACTTTATCCAAAATGGGGTCAGTTTGGACAGTTCATTATAAATACCCTATTTCCAGATAAGGTTGTGTTTGGGGGAGCAGGGATCTAGGACTTCAGTGCATCTTCATGGAGGCGTGAAGAGTCAGTTCAGTCTACAACATCAGCCATGCTAATCTTTGGATGGATTTTTTTCATCAGCCAAGCTAATCTTTGTTTGGACTGGATTTTTTTTTTCCTTTAGATGAAAAATGAAACGAAAAACCTAATGTATGTTTCCCAGTTAAAATTACTTTTAAAAATCCCTGATCTTTGCTGTGAAGAGAATTTCCAATTCATTTATTCTTTGAGGGATTAGTTTTGTGCCCGATGAATGAGTAGGCTGGGATTAATGTTGGTACCAATGCCTGTATGGTTCAGAGACGGGGAGCCTGTGCACTGAGATAGTTCAAGGGCATTTGCGGGGAAAGGTGTCCACAGCCTTATGCTGATAACTATTGCATTCTTGCACAGTTGCTCCAATCTAGGAAGTGGGATGGTAATTCACCAAGGTGTCAAGTCTCATGACATTTTACCTATCACGTGTCTTTCATCCTGACCCATCTTGATT